CAGGGACGGAATTGTACATTCACCAGGCACAACCCAGTTTATCTAAGCACTCTAGAAGGCCGCTTAAGAGTGCTAAAATGCTTCTCTACAGTGATCACCCAGAGCTGAGGGAACTGGGTGGGGTGGTGAGAAGTCAGAGGTGGTAAGTGGGCTGGAAAAGAGAGAAAGCTTTCTGTTCAAGGAGGAGAGAGCTGGGAATCCACTGAGAACCGACAGCACTGCCAGGAGGTAAGGAGAAGGAAGGGAAAGAATTTCAATGAGTCCAGACAGCCTCTGTGCCCCAACAACCTAACCATTATGGACAGCATGGCAACACCAACCCTCTCCGGGCCTGCGAGCTAGAGGTGTTAAAAACTGGTTCTGTGAAATGGGTACTTTTAAAGAAAATTTCTTCCAACGCTCACCAAAAAGTGAGCCTCCCATAAAGAGCTCACCAGGCATGCCAATCCTCTGCCTTTCTTCCTTGCCTACCTCTTCACTAACCACCCCACGTCTGAAAGAGGGAGGTTCTCGGCCTCACGTGACACTGTGGCCACGTGACCCCGCCCGGCGGGAGCCGAGGGGAGGTGCAGCTCATCTCCAGTCGTTGGAAGGGATCCGGTGTGCCCAGCCCCCAGCCCCACGCGACCATGCTGTCCCGCCTGCTCAAAGAACACCAGGCCAAGCAGAATGAACGGAAGGAGCTGCAGGGTGAGCACACTCTCCCGTCTGCCTTTTTCTCCCCGGCCTTTGGCCCGAAGCGTGCCGGATCAAGGGAAGGGCGCCGGCTAGCGGGCAACGGGTGTGGAGGAGAGCGAATTACGGGCGGCATTTTTGGAAATTATGTTCCTTTGCCAACCCGCTCTGGTCTCTTGGACTGCTCTCCGGCCCCCTCGGCAACGCCCCCAGTCCCCGCCTCCGCTGCATCGGAGCCCCGCCCCCTCAGTCGTGACGCGCGTTCCTATTGGTCCGGGGAGTCTCTCAGCCCGGAAGTGCGATAGAGGTGGGAAGCTTCTTTCCTACCTACATCCAGTCTGGGAATCCTATGGTTACGGAATCTTGGTAGCGGACAACGTCTAGGAGTTAAAGAGTCCTGGGCGCTTCCAGGAACTCGTCGGCGTCCTGAGCGAGTCCCTTCCTCGCTTAGGGTGCTAGTTTCCTCATCTCTGAAATGAAAGGGGTTTCCTTATGTTTTGCAAGTTCTTTTTCACCTCTGGTATTCTGAAATTAGTTGGATGTTCCTGGAACTAAAAAAAAAAAGTAATGACTAGATGGGGAACCACCCGTCAAAAAACAAGTCTACACTCTAATCCCTTTCCCCCCTCTCCCAGAGAAGAGGAGGCGAGAAGCTATCACTGCAGCGACCTGCCTGACGGAAGCGCTGGTGGATCACCTCAATGTGGGGTATGAACCTCTTCCAGTCAACACCAGTTCTCTCCACCCACTCACCAGAATTAGACACTAGGAAGTTCTGGCCCACAGATCACTCTTTTCTTAATTATATATTTTTAATTTTAGGCGTTATTACTAGTACAAGGGAGTTGCATTGTGAAAATTTTGTAGATTCATACAGTGTACTTTAAACAAGTTCACTCCCTGCATTATATTCCTTAGTGCCCTTCTTTCCCTCCCCCTCTTTTCCAACAGTATTTGGTGAGTTTCATTATGCTGTCTTCACACATATACAAGTGATATACTTTAAACCTCTTCACCTCTCAGGACCCTCTCTTTTCTCATATTCTTGAAGGGTCGGAATGTCCCACTCACTCCCCCTATTCTATCCCCTCCCCTCCCTGTAACTGTGGAGAGAGGCTTGAGTCAGCTCTGACCCCAAACACTTGAGGGAAGAGCAGCTGCACAGTGGTTGGAGAAGCAGCCACATTTCCCTCTCCCCACATTAACTTCCCTGGCACTTACATCTTGATGCCATCTGCCCACCTCTTTTCACCCTTCCAAGTCCAGCTGTCACTTCGATGGGAGGGAGAGCACCCTCCTTTCACCACAGCTTACCCCCTCTCCTTCTCCACCTCCCATCCTCTGGCAAGTCTCGGAACAGATGGCAGGAAAGAGGTGGCACAGCTGGTGAGGTTAGTGGACAAACTGTACCAGGAGCTACAACAGAGCCAGACTGTCTCTTCCCTTCCTTCTGGGTCTTCAGAGACCACCCCTGCCCCAGCCCTAAATGAGAATGTCAATAATCGCCAAAGACTTGGGAAGGAACAAAGAACATTGTCTCCTGACTCTGCTGGACCCAGAAGAGTGCAGAGATAATGATTTGATAGTCTGTCTATTAGAAGAAAAGAAGCAGTATGATGTCTTCCCACCCCAGGGCAAGTAAAACAGCTTGGTTGTAAATCCAGAGGCTGAGTCAGCCAAGGGAGTCATGCAGGGGCTGGGGTCATCTTCATTATTCATGTTGGGGGGAGATTAGGGGAAATAATAGCTGTGGTTGAGGCCTCTGATCCCCTTTCCCTCCAGACAGTTCTCTTCTCTCAGGGCAGAGTTTGCCCCTTTTCCTTCCCACACTGGCGCCTCCTGTGCCACCACTTGTGAAGTTGGCCCAGGCTTCTCCCTCTTCTCTTCATTTGCAAGAGGCCACCCCACTTTCAGCTTAGAGGGCAGCTAAGCCAAAGGCAGATTAGAAAGAGTTTTGTGTTGCTGCCCACAGCTCCTTTTACTCCCCAGTAGGAAAACAACGGCCTAGTCTGTCTCAGCCCTTGTCAGGTGTCCTGCCCACTTTCTTGACCCCAGCAGCTCCTTGCCTCCTTCAGCCCCCACACATTCCAGTGGGTGGAGGGCACCGGATGTGGAATCTCCTGGCTGACCTAGAAAGATTCATCAGCCAATAAGGAAGAACAATTATTGTGGGTGAGGAGGGCAGCAAAAAAAAAAAAAATAGTAAAGGACTAAGGACACCAACCTACTACCCCATGGCAGTAGTGATAACCACGGCCAGTACCTTGTTTGAGGAGAAAAGAAAAACAATTGCCTGGAGCAGTATGGAGGGAGAGAGAGAGAGAGAGAGAGAGAGAGAGTGAGAGAGTGTGTGTGTGTGTTCACTCATCTGTGTGGGCGAAAGCAAAAGGGTTAGGAGAGAGACAGAGCCAAGAAGAAACTCTGGGGATATCCTCTCTTGACCCAGGGTTCCTGGGGAGGGGGTTTGCTCTCCCAACCTACCCCAGATTCAGGGAGGGGCCCGACTTCCCTTCCTAACTTCTTGTGCAGATCACTGGGCTTCCAATCACTGCCAGATGTGTGTCTGCTGCTGAATTCTCCCAGCATAACCACACCCCTTTTCCCTCCCAGCTTCTTCCTCAGGGACATCCCCCCAGGTTAACCCTCCCTTCCCCCACTCAGCTGCAGAACTCCTTTAGGGGAGAGGAGCTGGTGTGTTTCTAGTCAGTTCCCAGTTTGGTTCTCCTGGGAACCCTGGGAATGGAGGAAGGAGCAGGCTTCATTTGCATCACATCTAAGAAGGGCCAAAATCATGAGGTTCCCCAGCCCTGCCTCCTGGCTGGCCCCCCACTACTGCAATAGAATATTAGTCCTGGAAACAAACCTCCCATGAGTTGGATGAGCTGACCTCCTCCCTCTTCCAACTCTTAGTGTGGCCCAGGCCTACATGAACCAGAGAAAGCTGGACCATGAGGTGAAGACCCTACAGGTCCAGGCTGCCCAATTTGCCAAGCAGACAGGCCAGTGGATTGGGATGGTGGAGAACTTCAACCAGGCACTCAAGGTGGGCCACACTCCCCATATCACTACTCTCATTTGAGCCCCCATTGACTGCCTCCAGTATGGTCACCTCAGGCCTGGGGTTAAGGAGGAAGTGGGAATGGACCAGATAACCCATTTATGGTCCCAGTGTCAGAGAAGCTAGAAAAAGAAATAAAAGCAGGATCTGGGGATATGGCTTAGTGAGACAACACATGCTTAGTATGCATAGGGCCCTGGATTCAATCCCCATCACTGAACGGGCAGTGGGATGGGGGGAGGAGAAAAAAAAGATACTCAGAACATGCATGTCATGGTGCATGCTCCTGTAGTCCCAGCTATTTGGGAGGATGAAGCAGAAAAGATTGTATGAGCCCAGGCCAGACTGGGTAACATAGCAAGACTCTAGCTAAAAAAAAGAGAGAGAGAAGAAATAAAAGCAGTTAGTGGACCCAAGGAAAGCCCTTTCCAGAAGATGGGTTAAAAGTGGTCCCAAGCTGGGAGCCATATTTTACCCACCCTGAGCTCCAACACCCTCTCACCCTTCCCAGGAAATCGGGGATGTGGAGAATTGGGCTCGGAGCATCGAGCTGGACATGCGCACCATTGCCACAGCGCTGGAATATGTCTACAAAGGGCAGCTGCAGTCTGCCCCCTCCTAGCCCGCTATCTTCCCCCTCTACCCCCTCTCTGATGTCACCCACAGGGACAAGAAGGAGACTGATGAGCTATGACTGAATAAAACACAAACATTCATTTCTATGTGGTGTGTTTCTAGGAGCTACTAGCTTCAATGTGAGTGGGGGTAGAAATGGAAGGTTTAGAGGTTTCCCTGAGGAACAGATACCTTTCCAGCTAGCTTCCTCTTACTATCCCAGCTCTTCTTGGGTCTGGTGCGGATACCTGTTGGATAGACAGAGGGTCCAAGTTTCTGACACCTTCCTAAAGAAAGTTCTAGTGTCCTCTGTGTCAACCTTCCTAGTTCTAGACTTCAGGTTCCTACAGAGGAGAAATGAGAACAGGTAGCAGGTCTAGTCTCCAGCTCAAACTCCACTCTCCATGTGCTATGGCCTCTCCCAGGCTAGTGCTAAGCAGTGTTATGAATCTGGGCCAGATGCAGATTAATTCTTAGGGGCACTTCAGTGTTGAGAAGGGAGAAAAATGACAGGTCCAAAGCCACCCATCAAGAGGGCCAGCTGCCATCCTTGACAGTTCCCTCCTCCTGGGAGATAGTGACATAGATGGTCAGGAACCCAAACTGAGAAAGACAGCCCTCCAGGGTGCCTGAGCAGATATGGCCTCTGCCAAGTCCTAGCTTCAGTCAGGCAGCTTCAGCCTTCCAGGCTCCTCCTCCTCCTCAGCCTCTTCCCCCCGCCTCTCACATACACATAATACCCATCCCGGACTTTAGTCTTAGCAGTAACTAGTGGGGAAGGCTGGAAGCAAAGTCTTTCAAACTGCAGCAAGAGAAGCAGATTTACACAGTGATACCCCAGAGGAGGTAAGTGGGACAGTTGGGGGCTGGAGGTGCTGTGAGAAGACTAGCTATGTATGACCAGTATTGATAGCTCAAGCTTGAGGCTTTGGATATGCTTCTTCACACATCATCCCTTTGATCCTCCACAATGCTGAGGTAAGCCAAGCTTGATTTGGTAGATGGAAAAAAAGTTTCAGAGATACAGTGAGATGCCCAGGGCTGGGGATATAGCACAAGTGGTAAAGCACTTGCCTAGCATGCACAAGGCCCTAGGGTCTGGGTTCAATCCCCAAAACTGTTATAAATAAATTAAATACATAAATAAAAGGGGGCTCAAGCAGTAAGAGCACCCAGTCTTGCCAAAAAAAAAAAAGAAATGCTCAGCATCACACAGCAAGATTGGGGCCACCAGGACTGAAATGCAGGGGTCTTGGCCCTATATGATTCCAAAAATAAGGCTCAGGGCTCAGGTTAGATTTAGGGGTTTTGGGTGTCCCTGGTTTAGCTAGAGAAAAGGTGTAAGACAAAGCAGATCCCTCTGCTCCCACACAATAGGTCTGCAAAAAGTACCAGATCATGGGTTTTTGTTAAGTTAGCCACAATGATCTGCCCACATCTTTGTCTTGTACAATAAGCCATAATTTACCAGTTACCTGCAAAGCAGGTAATTTCTCAATCTGCTCAGACCAGACACTTCCAGCTAGGGAAGATGTTAAGAGACAAAGGCCTGACCACAAGCTTTCCTGCCCAGACTAAGCTGTCACCTGCAGGTCATTTGGGTCTGGCCATGTGGTTGCCTCTGCTGCTGGGTGCCTTGCTCTGGGCAGTGCTGTGGTTGCTCAGGGACCAGCAGACCCTGCCCACCAGCGATGCCTTTGTCTTCATCACGGGTTGTGACTCGGGCTTTGGACGCCTTCTGGCACTGCGATTGGACCAGAGGGGCTTCCGAGTCCTGGCCAGCTGCCTGACCCCCTCTGGAGCAGAGAATCTACAACAGATGGCCTCTTCCCGCCTCCACACCACTCTGCTGGATGTCACTGATCCCCAGAGTGTACAGCAGGTAGCCAAGTGGGTGGAGACACACGTAAAAGAAGCAGGTGAGTACAGAAGAAGCCACCAGAAACCTGGTCCCCGCAGTGACCCTAGAAGTCACCTGCAGGAGCTGTGGGAAAATAGAGTAACTCCAAAGGAGCGGTATTCCTATCCTCCCAGGATGAAAAGAACATAAGAGTGCCTCACCCACCCTCCATGTCTGTCTCATCTTCCCACAGGGCTTTTTGGTCTGGTGAATAATGCTGGTGTGGCTGGTATCATTGGGCCCACACCATGGCTGACACGAGATGATTTCCATCAAGTCCTGAATGTGAACACATTGGGTCCCATTGGGGTCACCCTTGCCCTGCTACCCCTGCTACAGCAGGCCCAGGGCCGGGTGATCAACATCACCAGCGTCATGGGCCGCCTGTCGGCCAATGGTGGGGGCTACTGTGTCTCCAAGTTTGGCCTGGAGGCCTTCTCCGACAGCTTGAGGTGAGAGGGGTTCAGGGCTTTGGGCCCAAGCCCATGGAGCAGCCCACTCCACAGATGTATCAGTGCCTTCCCAGCATGAGTCAGCAGACATGATTAAGACATAGCACTCAGCTGACAGAGTGACTCAAGAGGTAGAGTGCCTGCCTTGCAAGCATGAGGTCCTAAGTTCAAACCCCAGTCCCACCAAAAAAAAAAACAAAAGCATAGTGGAAGATTTAAGAGACAGGTTAGACCTCATGGGCTCAAATCCCAGCTTTCTGTCTTGCAAGCTTTGTGATCTTAAGTAGATTGCTTCTCTTTACCCACTTTGTCCTCATCTGTTAAATCAGGGTGAAAAGTCCTGCATCATGGGTGTTGATGTGAAATGAAGTAAGTATAAGAACCCAACAATGCCTGGCACACAGTAAATGTTGAAAAAAAAAGCATGCTATCATTAGTAGTAGTAGAAAAACTAATAATAATGATTATTACATTAAGAAAACAACTTTAGCAGGGCACCAGTGCCTCACATCTGTAATTCTAGCTACTTGGGAGGCTGAGATCAGGAGGTTCAAGGAGACCCCATTTCCAAAATAACAGGAGCAAAATGAGCTGAAGACATGACTCAAAGAGAGAGCACCTGCTTTGCAAGCATGAAGTCCTGAGTTCAGATTTCAGTCCCACAAAAAGAGAAAAAAAAAACAAAAACTGGGTGCTAGTGGCTCCTGCCTGTAATCCTACCATCACAAAAAAGGGCTGGTGGCAATTTTATACAACATTTTCTTATTTAATTATCCCAACAACCCATAAAGATAGATATTAATATACAATTAGTTTGTGGAAGCATTAGGATTTGCCCCAGGTCTGCTTCCTGTAGAGCCTACTCATTATGGTCTGCCCTTCTTTTTATTTTATTTTTTTAGCAGTACTAGAGTTTGAACTCAGGGTCTCACTCTTGACAGGCAGGTGCTCTACCATTTGAGCCACTCTGCCAGCCCTGTTTGTGTAGAGTTTTTTCAAGATAGGGTCTTGCAAACTGTTTGCCCGGGCTGACTTCAAACCTAGACCCTACTGATCTCAGCTTCCCAAGTATGGGCTAGGTATGAGCCACCAGTCCCTAGCAAAAAACACATCATCAGCAGATAAATTCAATGTCTACTGTTGTCCTATCTCAGTCTAATTTCCCAGTCAACATCATGGAACACATACTGTGTACTTGGATCTCTACATCTGGGCCAGGGCAGTGGATGTATCCCCACTTCTCCCATCAGATTATCCCCCAGTTGATGCTAGTCTAGACCCTTAATGTCCAGCACTTGGACTTAATCTCTGTTTTGGGAGATAGGAAATGGCATTCTTCTAGATCAAGAATTGGCAAACTGCAATCCTTGAGCCAAATTCAGCCAACTGCCTTCAAGCTAAAAATGGTTTTTATGGGGTTTTTTGGGGGGTGGGATTAGGATTTGAACATAGGGCTTCATGCTTGCAAAGCAGGTACTCTACCACTTGAGCCACATCTCTGGCTTTTACATTTTTAAGTAGTTACACTGTAAGTGGTTATATAAGTGCCTTCTAGTAATAGTAATTTTGGCCTGCAATGCCTAAAAATTTGCTATTAGGAAAAAGTAAGGGAACATTCTGGAAGCTAAGTCAGGAGTATCTGCCCAGCCTGGGCTATGTGAAAAGACCCTGTCTCAAAAATCAAAACACGCAGAAAGGAAGGGCAGGGAAGAGAAGGGCAAAAGAAAAAATAAGAAGCTCAATGATAGAGTATTTCCCTAGCATTCATAAGGTCCTGGGTTCAGTCCCCAACACAGAAGGAAAAAAAAAAGTTTCCTGATCCTAAGTCTAAATCATAAAAGAAAATATACAGACTTGCCAAACATGGTGATACACACCTGTAATCCTAGTTCTTGGCAGTCTGATGCAGAAGAATTGATAGTCTAAGGCCAGCCTGCCCTACATAGTGAGACCCTGTCTCAAAAAAAAAAAAAAAAAAAAAAGCTGGGCACTAGTGGTTCACACCTGTAATCCTAGCTACTTGGGAGGCTGAGATCAGGAGGATCACAGTTTAAGGCCAGCCTAAGCAAATAGTTCATGAGACTCCATCTCCAAAATAACCAGAGCAAAAACAGATGAGGTGTGGCACAAGTGGTACAGTGTGTGCTTTGCAAGTGCAAAGCCCTGAGTTCAAACCCTAGTTCCAAGCCAAGTGCCAATCACACCAGTAATCCTATCTACTCAGGAGGCAGAGATCAGAAGGATTACAGTTTGAAGCAAATAGTTGGTGAGCCCTTACCTCAAAAAAACCCTTCAAAAAAAGGGTTGGTGGGATGGCTCAAGATGTAGGCCCTGAGTTCAAGTCACAGTACCAAAAAAAAAAAATCAGTTTGAAACCAGCCCCAGGCAAATAATTCTTGAGACTCTGTATAAAAAAATTCACAAAACAGGACTGGTAGAGTTGCTTAAGTGGTAGTAGGAGTGCCTGCCTAGCAAGTGTGAGGTCCTGGGTTCAAACCCAGTACTGCCAAAAAAGATAGTTCCACCAAAATACAGGAAAATAAACCTCAAAAATATCTCTGGACTGGAGATGTAACTCAGTGATAGAGCACTTGCATAGGCCCCAGGTTTGATCCCCAGTGCCACAAAAAAAAAAAAAAATCCCTCCCTCAGCTCCCCTTACCCCTCATCCCAGGACAGCAGGATTCTCCCTTCCTGTCCACTACTCCTGTCCCTGGTCTGTGTTAACTTTCCATCTTAGATTTCCCACATGTCCCTGAAAATTCTTTCCCTATAAGGAGATCCCAAAAACCTCTCTTCCCAAACTCCAGGCGGGACCTGGCTCCTTTTGGGGTACGAGTTTCCATTGTGGAGCCTGGCTTCTTCCAAACCCTGTGACCAACGTGGAGACTTTGGAGGACATGCTGAAGGCCTGCTGGGCCCGACTACCTCCAGCCACACAGGCCCGCTATGGGGAAGCCTTCCTTACCACATGTGAGTAGCCAGGCCCACATGGGGTGCAGGAAGAGAAATGAGGTCCAGAAAGGCCAGTTCTGCAGTGGTCTGCCATGAGGAAGTGGGCAGGGCTTTGGAGAGGGGGTGGAGAACAGGACTGGGTACTCTGGCCACATAGAACCTGCCTATTCCCCACACTGGGAAGGGAGAGGATGCCTCTCAACTCTACTGAGCAACAAGCCCAAGGATCTAGAAGATAGGGCCTCAGACAGGCTGGAATGGGGATGAGACACTGACCACAACCATCCACGGGGCCACAGACCTAAAGGTACAGCGACGCATCATGAACCTGATCTGCGACCCGGACCTAACCAAGGTGAGCAGATGCCTGGAGCATGCCCTGACTGCTCGTCACCCCCGAACCCGCTACAGCCCGGGCTGGGATGCCAAGCTGCTCTGGCTGCCTGCCTCCTATCTGCCAGCCAGCCTGGTGGATGCTGTATTCACCTGGGTCCTTCCCAAGCCTGCCCAGTCAGTCTACTAAATCCAGCCTTCCAGCAAGAGATTGGTTTTTCAAAAGCAAGGACTTTTATTTGTCTCCACCCTGGTACTGCCTAATGCCTAGCACAAAACAGGCACTCAATAAATGAGTATTGTTTAAATAAATAAATAAAAAGGAGGGACTAGAGATGTGACTCAATCAGTAGAGCACCTAGCCTACGTAGCAAGAATGAAACCCTGAGTTCATAACCCCAGTACCAGAAAAACAAAAAAAGTAGGTGCCCAGGGAGAGTATGACATTTAAGTGTTATCTACCCCAAGATGTCTTGCTGACCAAGGTTTCTGGCCTGTTTATATGCTTGCAAAACACCTAACACCCACTGGAGGGAGTAAGGAACTGCCTTGCATCTGTAGATATTTGAAGCTGCAGGGGTGGCCATCAGAGGGCACTTTTCCTTTTCTGCTGTAGAGATTAAGGTTACAATTCTGTGTTTGCACTGGGAATAGCCTTATCTATTTATCCTGGTGAAAAAGGGAAGGTGAAGAGGGGTCAGGGCCAGATGGGCCATGGTTTCCATGGAAGGAAATACTTCAAATCAGGGACACTGGTCACACAGGTCTCAAGCAACCTATCACCACTCTGAAAGGAGCCAAGTCCTCTTGAGGACTGGAGAAGGAATTTGCAGAGCCCTCAGAGGTGTGAAGAAGGCCAGGAAGATATGCAAGGTAGACATGGGCTGGGCTCTACCAGGTAGGACCTTTAATGGGAAATCCCTTTGACCTATGTTCTAGGGACACTGAACACTCCAGGGACACTGAACACTCCAATACTAAGCCTGGCAGCACAAAACTAGAGAGCACTGGGCCACAGCCCCCTCTGGATCCCCACTTCTCCTACTGCCAGCCCAACCAACACCTTCAGCAAAATCCTCCTTTCCCAAACACCCCGCCAAAACAGGCCTGCCTTTCCCAGAAGTGCATAGACCAAGGTCTCAGAGACAAGGAACATGGAGAAAAGAGAAAGAGTCAAGTATCACTGTAAAACAAACTGAGACTATCTCTCTTTTTGGTCTGAAAAAATAATCCGTTTAATTGAAAAACCTGGAGGATATTACTCCACTCCCCTAACGAAGAGACCAAAGAGACCAGACTTCCTACATCACTTCATAGCCACTTCGGATACTCTTCACAAGGCAGCAGGCAAAGACAATTCCCAGGATCTAGAAGGAAAAAGAGAGAGGGGTGTAGAAGGGAGTCAGAAGTGCAAGCTACCCCAGACCCACCCAAGGGCTCCCAAACACAACCACAGCTCCCCTCCGGAGGCCAGTACCTCCTGCTCAGCACACTCCTCCCTATTGCCTCTCCCCAGATGCCACACACTGAGTCCCATCCCCGGCCCAGCATATGACTCACCTCTACAAAAGCAATACCCAGAGCTACTGCAGCCACCAGCAGCACATTCTTCCTCAGCCAGGCCCCCATAGTCTCTACACAGCCCTGAAGGGACACAGGCACACAAAGCAAGCTGCCATTGGAAAGATCCACTTCCCCTAGCCCATCTCTCTCCCCCACCTCTGCCTTTCACCCCACTCCTAGCTTTTCCAAATCCCCCTTCCTATTCCCTGACCCTGTTAGCTACCACCCCAGTCTCTCTAGCCTCCTGAAATATTTCCCAGGTTTCCCAAGTCCCATACTGTCAGTCTTCTCCCTACCTTCTGATTGATCGCCTCCACCTTGAAATCAGTTCCACAGCCCCTAGTGACTTTGATGCAGCAGGAGTCAGGGACTTGGTTCTTGGCTATGCCAGGGACATTCTCCCAATCTGAGTAGTTACCAGCCCCGCAGCACTTAAACTGGGGAAGTGGAGAAATGTGGGAGAAAAAGATGCTAAGTGAGCCTCCACATTCAGTATGGACATGCAAATGCTCTACCCCCCCTACCCCTGCTCCCAGTAGCCCCACTTACATCTTCCTGCATCCTGTCCAGGATCAAAGTCGTGGTGTTGTCTTTATAGTAATTATTCATCCGATGCCTGAAGCTCTTATCAAACTCTGTTACCACCTGAGAGTACGGAGGAGTGTCACTGAGGGCAGAATTTGGGCACCTGGATCCAAGAGCAACCCAAGACAGGACTTTCCCCTTACTCCCTGCTTACCTTCTCTCTAAACATATAGCCAGCAATAGCCGCAGCCACCTCCACAAGCATGATAAGAGACAGGAAAATAGCAAACTGAAGAAGTAAAGGGCCAAAGTCAGGTTTTAGGTCTAGATGAGAAAGAAGAACTTACTCTGGCCCATCTAGTCCCTACAACACTCATGGAGGCCTTTCTCACCCACTGACCTCACCTCACCCACCCTATCAAGCTCCAACCATAGAAATGCCCTCTAGACAGTCCCAGGACTCTTGCTGGTTCCACACACACTCACCGTGACCATAAGACAGTAGTTCTCCTTGCAGGCTCCACAGCAGCCCACAAAGGCCACCAGGAAGAGGAAGGCACCCACTACAATGATGAGCACAGGCACCAGGGAGCCAAAAGTAACCTCTTGGGTTATGGTCTGTCTCAGGACAAGCTGGACAGCTACACCCACAGCAATCAATCCTATTGCACAGGCCTGAGAGGAAGGCAGGTAAAGGTTAGGAAAGACCCACAATTCAGCAGCTCTCCACAGTGGTAGACAGGTGTGTGCACCTGACACACACCTGACCACCACCCAGGAGAGTCTCACACCTCCAGGTAACTTTGACTGTAGGGGAGGGGGATCACCCATCCTTGCTCCACAGTGAAGGCAGGGGGCTGGTTCAAGGCACTCAGGGAAAAGGGGATCAGGAGCCATGCCTTCCTTTAAGCAGCTCATCAGCCAAGGAGTAGACCAAATGCAAAAAAGAGAAGTATGCAGAAAGCCTTGACCTCAAGGCACACATTCCTGACCTGGAAGAGTACTTTCTATGGGACCCTAGACAGATTCTCTCCCCAAACTGCTGGTCTCACTATCGTCCAGTGACTAAGGTCCTCAGAACAGCTAGATCAGGAGGAGGGAAAGGGGGCAAGAATGGCATGCCCCTCCCTGGACAACCAGTACCATTCTGGACCAGGAGCCCAAAGCAGAAGTAAATTAAAGTGGGCTGAGCCCTTATTCACAGACCTTCTGCCCCAGGCACCTAGGAGGATAGAGGAAGAGGGAATGGAGAGGGATAAGGAGGGTGGGGAGTGGTGGCAGCCTCCTGGCGATAGCATCAGGCGGTTGGCTGGTTGCCCCACTACCCCATATCACAAGCGGTTGGGTCACCAGACAGGAAGGCCAGGAGTGGTGGGGGTGGAAGGTGCTGCATATCCAGAAGGGCCATTCTCAGTCCAAACTAGCCTCGGCGAGTCCCAGAAAACTGAAGGAGCTTTCAACCCTTTCCCCAGGCTTTCATTCCACATCTGGTCTCCAGCTGCCTTCATTCAGGGTCAATCGGCCCTCACCACTCCCGCACCAGGACTTCCCGCACCTCGCCAGCGCGAATCCCATCGCTCCTCCTCCCCACTCACGCAAAAGGCCAGCAGAAGAACGTAGAGCAAGAACTTGACACATTTCATTCCTCCTTCCACCGCCATGGCTGCTGCTGGGCTTGGGGCCGAGGAAGAGGAGAACGGGAGGAATTAGACCGCACCAAGGGGGCCTCGGCTTCCGGGCTCCTGGCCGGCCCTCGCTGCCATCCCTGCCTGGCCCCCACTTCGGCCCCTCCCACCCGGAAACCCGCGGTCAGATCCACGTCTCCCGGTCCCCTCTGCTCCCCGGCAGAAGAGAGGTGGGGGCGACGGCTGCGAAGCTCGGGCCTTCCCCGCCGCCTCCCGAACCCAGGACAGACCCAAAGGCACCGACCGGGGATCGAGCCTGATGCCGACCCTCGGCGGGCCGCCCCTAGGCACCAAACACCGCCCCGCCCAACCTGCGCCCCAAAACAAGCTCAGCCAAAAACCCGATCCCTCCCCCAGTCCTCCCAACCCCCGCCACTTTTCGCTGGACGCTGACCTACTCGCGAAAAAAAATGCAGCAGCACCCCTAACCCGCCCGGGCTTCGGGAACTTTGAGGCAAAGTTGCTCGAGGGCCTAGCGAGCAGCAGGAGAGTGCCGGGCTGCTCTTCCCAGGCTGGGGACGAGCCCCTGGAGAAAGGCACTCCCCGCGGGCTCCCCGACTCCGCGCCCAAGTCCGCGTGGACCCCGCGGCCCCACCTGAACTCCCCGAGGCTGCGCGCTCCTCTCCCGCCGTGGCTCAGGGGCTCTCTAGCTGCGCCCCCCGGCTGCCGCCCCGCCTGCCTCACGGCCCCGCCCCGGCTCCAGCCACTGCCCCCTCCCCCGCCGGGTGGCCGCCAGCCTCCCTCATGTGACGCCGGAACAGCTGCGGCCTGAGTCACCGCGGCCAGCGGGGCGGGGGGAGTACCGAGCCCCCAGCCCCGCCAGAACCACGTGGCCTCTATCCGGCAAAGGCGCCCACCCCCGCAAAGGGAAGGCACGGAGGGCAGGACCTCAGGGCGCCTGGGGCTCTTCTGGAAGCGGGACCGAGCGCCGCCTAGTTCGCGCTGGTTTAGGGAAGCAGAGGAGGCTGGTAAGAGCCATAGGCAGGATGGGCGGCTGAGTTGTCCTCTGAATGCCCAGAGGCAGAGCTGAGGCAGAACGACAAGGTGGTCTGGGAGAGGCTTCTCAACCTCCACCCACAGCCTGCCACACTCCTCCTGCTCCATTTCTGCCGAAGCCCCTGCCCCCATCCCCGACTCTGCAGAAAGCTGTGTGCTGCCCGGGATCGGGTGGGGCCAGAATAAATACTTCCGGAAAGTCCCTGGCCTCACGTCCTGTGAGTCTCCCAACATTCTAGACTAGGGCAGTCTGGCCTTCTTAACGCACCTTCTCTTATTTTCCGTGGCTCCTAGGCTGGACCATCCCACCCATCAGATATGACAGGACAGAGTCTGGTTCCTCCCTCTGCAGGAGGATTAACAAGGTCTATGCTCCCTTGCTCCTGGGTCAGTCGGTTATGGTGGGTATTGGGAGAGGGCACTGGGCAGCCTTATATCCCATGGATTTCTCCATCTCATTCCCCATGAATCACAGAAGGCAAAGCCAAGTGATGGCTGAACAGGTGAGTTCCAACTGCCTCCCTCCCTTGTGTGCCACTTCTGGTCTTGCAAAGGAACTGAATGAAAAACTAAAGGATAGAACCAGCCTTCACACCCCCAACCTGACCCTACCCTTTAGGTTCTTAAGGTCCTGTCTCAAGAGCCAGCTCCTGAGCCTTAAGGGTAGGGGAGTATGCACAAAAAGAGAAAGAAAACTGCCTGGTAGTACACACTTTATAATCCCAACTACTCAAGAAGCTGAGGCAGGAGGATCATAAGTTTGAGGCCAGCTTGGATAATTTAGCTAGACCCTGTCTCAAAAAGAGTGACTGGGGATAAGCAAGTGACTATGATCAAAGTACATTATATGCATGTATGGAAATGTCATAAGGAAACATAAGGTTTTTTTAAATTGGCTGGAAGTAAAACATGCTTCCCTAGCATGTACAAGGCCCTAGATTCAATCCCCAGTACCAAAAAAAGAAAAAGAAAGAAAGCAAGCAGGGCAGGATGACTCATGCCTGTAATCCTAGCTACTCAAGAGACAGAGATCAGTTGGATTTCGGTTCGAAACCAACCCAGGCAAATAGTTCTCAAGTCCACTATCTCGGAAAAAAAAAAAGGACGGTGGAGTGGCTCAAAATGTAGGCCCTGAGTTCAAGTGGAGGGAGGGAGGGAGGAAGGAAGGAAGGAAGCAAGCAAGCCAGGCATGGCAATTTACCCCTGTAGTCCCCACACTTGGGAGGGAGACTAAGGCAGGAGGATCATGAGTTTGAGGCCAGCCTGGGCTATGTAGTGAAACCCTGTCTTTAAACAAAAACAAAGAAAAATGAAGTGATGTCATTTGCAGGAAAATGGATGGAATTTATGTTAAGTAAAATAAGCTAGTTCTCACAAAGACAAGTATTAAGTGTTTTCTCTCATATATAGAATTGGGGTGGGGAGGCAAAAAAGGACATGAAGGTAAAATGAGAACTCTTAAGGGTGTGGAAGGGGGAAAAGGGGAAGGGGAATAAGAAAGGGTAGTAGGGGTAAATATGGTTAAAGTACATTATATCCATGTATGGAAGTGTCATAATAAAGCACCTTTTGTGTAATGAATGTACACTAATAAAACCAAAAGAGCAAAGGGAACGTGATCTGGGCTGGGCTGAGGAAGTTTCCAGAACCACAGTCTTCCAAAGGAATATGCTAAACACATTCTGTACCTTGCTCTCCCTTATCATGGTGAGCAGACAGTGGAGGAGGAGACACGATGCCAAAGAAAAGAGCATTCATCTGTTCTCTTGTTATACTACCACTAGATGCCAGCCATGTGCTGGGCACAGAGTGGTCCTGCCCTATGCCAGGAGGCAAAACCAAGTTCCTGGTGGCAGCCAGATGAGCTCACCTGGAGGGACAGAGAGAGGAGAGTGGATTTCATAGATGGGGTCGGTAGGTATTCTCCAAGGTGACCTTGAACAATGAAGGGACCAGTTCTCAGTTCCAGGGACAGGGAAGTACTCAACTGTAGAAAAGGAACATATTTTTAAAGTATGTGGCAGGTTGGGGTTGGCTGTCTCAAGGGCTGGGGAAGGATGCGGTAAAGGTGGGTGGGAAGGTGGGCTAAGAATAAGATTGAGAGATCTGAAATACATAACAACCAGGTACAATGCTTGGTCGTTTTTCCTTTGTAGAAACAAACCAGCTACAAAACACACTTTGGGAACAACCAGGGAATTGTGAATATGGAATGAGAATTGGACATGACAACATTGTTTTGTTAGGCTAAGGGAGTAGCTCACAGTGGTAATTGCTTGCCTGCCATACCCAGATCTGGTGTCAATCTCCATCACTGCAAAAAAGAATTATTTTGTTAGCTTTGTTAATGATATGATCATGTAGGGAAGGTTTATCCTAGGGATTGGGCCTACACTGAAATGAAAAGGAATAAATGTCAGGTGACTTGGAAGATAACTGAGAGAACAACTATGGAAGAAGATGAGGACCATCACCCAGGGAAGGAAGACATAGTCAACCAAGACAGGAAGCATACAGTAGACATCAGGGTGGAGATGTCCCACCAGGAGGTAGAAATGAAACTCTGGAGAGAGGCATCAGACTAGAGACAAAAGTGGTATCTAAGGCTGGGCATGGAGGATCTCTTGAGACCAGGAGTTTGAGACCAGCCTGGGCAACAGCAAGACCTTGTCTCTTAAAAATTAATTAGTTAGTTAACTAATCCATGGATGGGTGAACAAGGGAAGAAAAGAGACAGAGCCTTAGGGAGCCCTTTTTTTTTTTTTTTTTTTAATGTGGTACTGGGGTTTGAATTCTAGGCCTCACATTTGCTAGGCAGGTGTACTACCACTTAAGCCACTCCACTAGCCCCTTAGGGAACCTTTATGTTTTGTTTCTGTGTGTTTGTTGTGAAGGGTTTTTTTAAGGGGAGGGGCCAGGAAAATAGGGTAATAGAAAGAGGGTGTAGAAGGAGGAGAGAAAGCCTTTTATTTAAGAAACATGGAGTCAAGGTAGCCAGTAAAGGGGCTGACAGGGAGGGGCCCTTGCAGAACTGGGCCTTTAAACTATGCCAGGCCCTGTACTGAACACTCATATCCACCAGCTCTAGGCTTAATCCTCACAGCAACCCTGTGAGATCAGTATTCTTTTTCCTGTTTTAGAGATAAGGAAACAGCCAAGTGCTGGTGGCTCACAGCTATAATCCTAGCTACTCAGGAGGCAGAGATCAGGAGGATTGAGGTTTGAAGCCAGTCCCGGGCAAGTACTTGTGGAGACACTATCTCAAAAATAAAAGGGTTGGTTCAAGTGGTAGAGTGCCTGCCTAGCAAGTATTTTGTATGAGGTCCTGAGTTCAAACCCCAGTACCAAAAAAAAAAAAAATGGAGAAAAGGAGATAAGGCTGAGACATGGACTAACAAGTCCAGAGTCCAAGCCAAGTAAAGGCAGCCTTAGAATTTGAACCCAAGTCTCTGGGGTTTCAAAGCCCATGCTTTTTTTCCTTTCCCTAGGAGGTCAGGAAAAAAGAGAACAAGATAGGGGCGGGGATGCCAACAGTGGCCATAGTGCTAAGTGGTGTACAGAGGTCAACTTAAGTGAGAAACAAGAGAAGGCCACTGGGTGGGGCAGACTCCTGAGCAGCATCAGGATCACCTGCTGAGGCCTAGGAGCTAAGGGAGGAAGGGAAGACAGCCATGTGGGCAGGGGGAGAGCTGAGGTGAAGGTCAGGAGAATGGGGCCCTTCTAGGAGAGTCCAGGGCATAGGTAAGGACAAGCTGTAGCAAATGCACAATGGTGGCAGCAACTTGGAAAAGCAATGAGGAGAGAGAGGATAGGGCCAGGGAGACCCCAGAGAACAAAACCTGTGAGGAATTTGGAGTGAGGGCACAAGGGGAAGGCAAGAAGAACCCATTCTGAATCAAACTCATAGAGACAGAGGGTAGAATTGTAGTTATCAGGTACTTGGGGGAGGGGAATGTGGAGTTAGTGTTTAATGGGTACGGTTTCAGTTAGGGAAGATGAAAAAGTTCTGTAGATGAATGATGGTAATAGTTGTACAACAATATGAATTACTTAATGCTACTGAATTAAAAAAAAATAGTTAAGGCTGGGCATGATGGCTTATGCCTGTAATTCCAGCTACTTGGGAGGCAGAGATTGGAAGGATTGAAGTTGAAAGCCAGCCAGGGCAAAAAGTTATCAAAACTCCCAGCTCCATCAATAAGATGGGCATAGTGGTATGTTCCTGGCTACACAGAAGGCCTTAGATAACAGGATCAATAGAGGTCTGAGGCTGGCAGTACGCAAAAAACATGAGACCTTACCTGAAAAATAAATAAAATTTAAAAAAAGGCTGGGCACCGGTGGCTCACACCTGTAATCCTAGCTACTCAGGAAGCAGAGATCAGGAGGATCAAGGCCAGCCCCAGGCAAACAATTCCAGAGATTCTATCTCGAAAATACCCAACAAAAACAGGGCTGGCAGTGTGACTCAAGACCTATACCTGTATACCTGCCTAGCAAGCTTGAGGCCCTGAGTTCAAACCCTAGTGCCGCCAAAAAAAAAAAAAAGACCCACAAAGAGTCATCATAGTCCCAGTGACACCCATGCAGTGTCACCTCACTGGCTTGCTGGTGACATTGCCATTGCTGTACTGGTTAGTGGAGTTTGAGGGCATAGAAGAGTATCTGCAGTCACTATGTGTTACCAGCTCTTCTGGCTGTCTAGGAACAGCCAGA